GCTGGGGACCCCCACCACCACCACCACCGCTGGCACCCTTTCCCAGCCCGGCGTGGGGTGGGTGCCTGTAGGAGGAGGCAGACGAGGACCAGCCTCTCCTCCCTCCTCTTTGCAGTGATCGAGAAGTTCACGGAAAACACCCGCTTTTGCCTCATCTGCAACTACCTCTCCAAGATCATCCCCGCTTTGCAGTCCCGCTGCACGCGGTTCCGCTTCGGCCCCCTCACCCCGGAGCTGATGGTCCCGCGGCTGCAGCACGTCATACAGGAGGAGGGGTGAGCCGGGGGGTGGGCCGTGGCCGCGGCCGCTCTCCCCTCGTGTCGGCCCCACGCAGGCAGCTGCCCTGGAGGGGTCGGTGGAAGAAGGGAGGAGCTCCTCATCCTTCCTCCACCCTCCTCTTCCTCAGAGCACCACCATGGCCTTCGGGAAGGTGACGGAGGAGAGCGTCTACACCTGCACGGGACACCCCCTCAAGTCTGATATCGCCAACATCCTCGACTGGATGCTGAACCAGGACTTTTCCACTGCCTACCGCAGTATCCTTTCTCCTTCACTGGGGTTTAATCCTCGCTGCCGTAAACCCTCCGCTTCGCATGGGCTTCCCGTCCTCTGACCTCCCGCTCTGGCTGGGGTGGGTGCCGCTTGCTGGGGAGGGTCCTCGGGGTTGTCGCGGGGATGAGGAGCGGGTTCTCACAGGGAAAGGCCTGGAAGAAAGCCCTTCACTCCCTCTCATCTCAGAAATCACGGAGCTGAAGACGCTGAAGGGTTTGGCCCTGCAGGACATCCTCACCGAGATCCATCTGTTTGTGCACAGAGGTAGGGGCTCTCATGGGGCCGGCTCCTGGCTGACCCTGCGAGGGACAACCATGTCCCCCCCTCCCAGCCCACGCTGATGCACGCCATCTCCTTCTCTCCGCAGTCGATTTCCCACCCTCGGTCCGTATCCAGCTGCTGATCAAAATGGCGGATATTGAGTAAGCATCCGCTCGCCCCTTGCCCCAAAACACCCCAGCTGGGGGGGCTGCCGGCATGCCCACCCCATGGTGGTCACCGCTACCGTGCTGTGCCGGGTCCTGGTGGCCGAGGGGCACCGCTGGCAGATGCCCACAGTCCCGCTGCATCCGTCCCTGCCACATAAACCCGCCGGCACTGCGCTTGGCTTACTCCATCCATGCCAAGGCTGTCGCTTTGTGGGGACACGGATGCTGGTGTAAACACCCAAACCTGCCCTTGCCCCCTGCTCCAGGTACCGGCTGGCTGCTGGGACCAGTGAAAAGATTCAGCTGAGTTCCCTCATCGCGGCTTTCCAAGTCACGAGGGACCTGATCGTGGCCGAAGCCTGAGTCCCGCTGGGTGGATCCTTCCTTGCATCGCCGGCTCTCGCAGAAGCCGGACGGGATTCTCGGCCCCATGCCCGGAGCTGCTCCATCCAACTTTCCCTTTCCTTTTTCAAAACCTTGCGCCCACCAGCTGAAGCGCGAGAGTCGGGCGGTGTCGTTTCTAAAGCTTCACCGGGAAATACAGATGCCTCTAAAGCCCGGCAGGTTGCACTTGTCTTTTCTTTTTCCTCCCGTACTGCAAGGACCGGAGGGAGATGGTGGAGGTTCAACCCCCTGTCCCATCGCAAAAGCGTCGCAGCCACACGGGCCAAAGTCCAGCTGCTGTCACCTGCCTGCAAAACCTCCCGTCCTTGCAGGGCAGAGCTGCCGCGGGGCGCTCACACGCCGAGCACTACGACCGTGGCTTGTGCCACCCCATCACGCAATTTCTTGCAGCGACATCCCCCTGTTACAAGAGGGAACACGGTCGTGGGTGACACCCGTCGGGGTGAGGGAGACACCAGCCTTCTGCGTTCAGCCGCTCGCAAGAGAAAATATCCCTGGGCACAGTTTAGAGGAGACATTCCCCGTCTTCTCCATCAGCTGGGGTCACAGCCTGCAGCACGCAGGGGACTCAGAGCACGCGCTGTCACTCCAGACGCCAGCTAAGCTGGAGAGAGAGGAGCACACGAGACCGCTTCATGCACAGCGTGAAAACGGGGCTGCGGGAGAGAAAGCAAGGGAGGAACGGGAGCCGGGGGCTGCGCGAAGCCCTGTGTCCCACCTTCATGGTGGACTCATCCTCCCCAGCACCCACCGCTGAGCGTTTACTGCTCTGCGGCACTTCAGAGCTGCGTGAGCACTCGCTGCCGCCCCGACCGCCGCGGCAGGAGGGCTGGAGGCCCTGGGCATGCCATGCCGGGTATCCCCAGGTTACCTCTACGAGCCAAGAGGAAAGACGTGAGGAATAATGTTTTTTTAATTGTGTCATTGCTGTCGTCTAGTCCACAGAGACCTGCTCGGGTTTGTCCGGCTCATGCCCAGAGCAGGAGAGCGGCAGAGCCCGCATCCCTCCAGGAACTAAGCTACAGCACCAGCCGGTCCCGGTGAGGGTCGGTTTTGTCGGGGAGAGTTGCAGCCCCATATTCGTACAAATGACAAAAGCCCCGCTCAGCCCGCGGCTGCTAAACCTTCAACCCACAACATTGCACTTGGAAGCAAAAGCACCTGACCCAAAACTGGCAGATAGCAGGGGGACAGGGGGACCCACGGCCCCTGTGGGGGCCACGGCAGCTCGTGCCCCTCGCCCGCTGCATGCGTTTTGGCTGGGTTCTAGTATTATTACACCAAAAAAATCCCTCCACATTCACAGACACGGCCCCAAAACAAAGAGCGGGTAGCAATCCTCCTGCCCCACGGCTCACGGATCAGCGAGACGTCGTTGCTGCGGTGCCTCCTCTGACCCAGGCCGAGCCCCGCTGCCGGGCAGAGGGCTTTCGCCTCCGTGCCTCCGCTTTCCATTCTGCCTTAAAAGGTCCGGTAAGTGAGGAATTCCTTCAGCTTCCTGGGAATGGGGAGCGCGAGGACCTGGTACGTTGTGAGGAAGGTGCGCAGAGCTTTGCGACACAAGTGCTTTAGTGACGAGAGGACCCTCGGAGCGGTCCAAAATTGGACGTGGCCATCTCTGGTCCTGCAACAGGATCCAAACGAGCTGTGAGCACAGGGCAGAGAGACTCCAGAAAGCTCAGTTAACCCCCAGATATCCCAAGTTTGCAGCAACCACGCGTTCCCCAGCCCAGGAAACCAGCCTGCACCTCCGGGGAAGCCCAGAATTTGCTGAGCAGACCCAGAGCTGCAGGAGGAGGAAGCTACCCGTGCTTCTCCGCTCCCCTCTCCCGCATACGCACCCTGTGGCGATGAAACCGCCATGTGGAAAGTACATGCAGCACAGGCCGTTGGTCATGGGAGCAAACGCCACCGGAGACCGCAGCTCCAACGCCCAGATCCTCAAGAGCCTAAGGAGAAAGGGAAGGGAAACGATGTCAGGCACACATCCAGGCAGTGCCTGGATGTAAAAGAAAGCCTCTGGGTTCACCTGAATGCATGCAAACTCTGGAGTAGGATTTTCTTCCCGTGGGCTTAGAGCATCCCAGGAGTGTCACAACACGGCAGCAAGGCGGGAGGCACTGTCCCCCGTCGAGCTGAGCTGGATGCAGACAGAGCTAGTGACTGCGCTGAGGGGCGCAGCGAGGGCGGCACAGCACGGAGGAGGACACGGGCTCATCGCTCAGAGGGGCGACAGGGCCCTGACCTCGCTAGCCCTTGCCACGGCCAAGCCGCAGCGTCCCAGGCAGCCTGCACTTTCCCCTTAACGCCGGGCACTGGTGGGGAACTGGCACGTGAGGTCTGCTCCCCAACTGGCACATCCTGAGCTCCCGGTTCGTTTTGGTGGTCTCCTCCTGGGACCCTCTTCCCCGCCGGAGGTCACCAAAGGGGGGTTCACTCACCTGTCATCCGCCACCGTGGCCAGGTAGAGGCCCTCAGGGGAGAAGCAGACGGAGCGCAGGGAGCTGGTGTGGACTTCGCTGCTGTAATCCAGCGCCGAGTGCAAGGGGACGTGGCTGCGGGTGGGGAGAACAAACCCAGCGTCAGCCCCAGGCTGCCGTGAGCCACATCCCAGTTCTCCAGAGCTGGCAGAGGGGCCAAACCCAGCAAGCCAGAGCCCCCTTTGAGCCGCTGGAGACGGGGAGAGGTGCTGGCCATGCCCAGCTAGAAGGGAAGGCTGCCCTCAGCCCCAACAATTCCCTATGGCATTGCTCTGTCCACCTTCCATGGTCCCCCACCGGCCCCCCGGCCCCGTACCGCAGCGTCCTCAGCTGCTCCCCGGTGTATGGGTCCCACATGATGACGCAGGCATCGTAGGAGGCGGTGACGAGGAGCGCCGAGTCCGGCGAGAAGTCGCACGACACCACACTGCTCTGGTGCCCCTCCAGCCTCCGGATGAGGGTGTAGGATCGCATGCTCCACAGCAGCGCCTGCGGGAACATGGGCAGGGGCTGAGGCTGGGAGCGTCCCCGGGGTTGGAGAGGAGGAGAAGCATCTCGGGGTTTAAGTCTTATGGGCTCTGGTGACAGGTCCCAGCTCTTCCATGCAGAGCTGGGATGGCCAAGGTGGCTCTGGCTTGGCCCCTTCTCACATGGGAGCTTCTCGCACCGGGGGGAGGACACACAGAGGGCTGAGGGGAGCGCTGGATTCAGCGGGACATGGGATGGCTCCCACCCAGTGGGACTCACCGACTTCTCTCCGGCCACGGAGCAGAGCATGCTGCAGTCTGGGGAGATGGAGCAGCAGTAGACCCACTGCACGTGGCCCGACAGCACCTGGACCTGCCGCCCTGGGGACAGCAGACACGTGAGTCATGAGAGGGGAGCACGAGAGGCAGTGCTGGGCCCTGTCCCTGCTCTCCCCACACCTTTCCCAAGAGGGGCTGGGGGGTTGCCCTTGGCAGAACCCAAGCTCTGTCTACTTGCACTTCCCAGGCCCCACCTGGAAGCGGATGGCTCTGCTCCGTGTCGCAAGACTCTCCCCTTCTTCCTTGAACGCTGTCCCCAAAGACCCTCACCCCTACCAAGGTGGGTTTCTCCCCCCTCTTTCCCACCGCGGAGCCTCAGCCAGGGGTGACCTAGCACCGGGGATGTCCCCACGTGCTCCTACCATCTCTGCTCAGGTCCCAGACACGCAAGGTCTTGTCCCGCGAGGCCGACACAAGGATGAGGCTTCCATTGGGAGCGAAGCTCAGGTCTCTGACCACGTCCTGGTGCCCCAAGAGGCTGAAGAGGAGGTGTCCTGTGGAGAGGGGACATGCTGAGTGCTATCCCGCCATGAGGAACAAGGCAGCGCTCCTCACGCGCAGGTTGGGACACGGCAAGGCAAGTATTCCCCGCTCATCCCAGGGGAGTCTTTGGGGAAGGATGAAGACGGGATCTCCTTCCAAGGGGGAGCAAGAGGAGAGACACCAGCCTGAACCTACAACCGCCCCCGCTGTCGGCGAGGACCGCTCACCTGTCTGCACCTCCCACACCTTGATGTGGCCATCGTTGAGCCCGGTGGCCAGGATCAGGCAGGGAAGCCCCACGGCGCAGGCCGGGTCCGTCTCCCCGGCTCCTGCCGCCGGCCAGGCGCTGAAGGCCAAGCCCCACACGATCTGGCCGCACTCCAGCGTCTTCTCCTTGGCCACCCCTCGGCTCCTGGCCTCCGCTTTGCCACCCCGGCTCTTTCGCTCCGAGGTTTTGCAGCTGCTGAGGGGAGAAAGGAGAGGGCTGTGCCTTCACCCATCCCCTCAACACCAGCCTGGACACACACCCCCCTCCCTCAGAGGACACCCCCAGCCCCACTCACAGCTCGGCCTCCTCCAGGGGCCAGGGGATGAGCTTGACCACGCAGTGCCCCTGCGACCAGGCGAACCAGGCGCCGTCGGGGGAGAAGGCCACGCTCCACGTCTCGCAGCTGGATTTCCAGTCGTAGCGCTGGGGGC